TCTGAAAATTGAGCTTCTTGTGGTGTCTCTAGTTTAGCATCTCAAAATTGAGGCACCCAAAATCACTAGTCACTTGAAGATTTAGGCATCTAGATATTTCACATTTTCCAGAGCTTAAAAAAGGCACATTTATTGACATGTCTGTTTTGTCATATTTATTTTTTATTTGAGATCATTAAGGAAAGTTTGTGTGAGCAAAGGTTAATCCATTCAGAAAGCTCTAGACATCTGAAAACCAAACTAACCAAGATTCAACTGCCTGCTAATGAATGGAACACAACTAATGACTTGATTCCTCTGTATTTATACTCAGGGCATATCTACACTTACTGGGAATTGCCACTGCAGCGATCGATGCACCGGGGGTTGATTTAGCAGGTCTAGTGAAGACCCGCTAAATCGACCGCAGATCACTCTCCCATCAACTCTGGTACTCCACCGGAACGAGAAGCGTAAGGTAAATCGATGGGAGAGTGGCAGTGTGGACACTGCAGAAAGTCGACCTAAGCTACATCGACTCCAGCTACATTATTCACATAGCTGGAGTTGTGTAACTTCGGTCGACTTACCCCCATAGCGTGAACAAGGCCTCAGACTAAGACTAGAAGAAATAGCCTTAGTAAGAAAGAGACATGAGGTGAAATCCTGGCCCTGCTGAAGTGAATGGCAAAATTCCCATTGACTTCAGGAAGGCCAGGATTGTGTGCATGGTCTAGTAGCCTTCTCACAGGAGTAGGAGCCAGGACCTCCTGAGTTCTGCCCCTAGTCCTGTCACTAACTTCCTTCTGTGACCTTGGAAGACACTTAATTTTCCTGTCTCACCTTCAGTACCTATAAAAAAGGAGATAATACCTGCCTACCACATTTTAGGATTAATTAAGCAGTAAAAAATTGTAAGATGCTAGGTAGCATTGCTACTCCAAGGCTCATAAGATAAAATCCTATGTGGAAAACTGACAGAGAGGAATAATGTTGCTAATGCTTTTCTCATTTTACAGAGCAGCATGTGTCCATAAATGTATGATACACAGACTGTTTTGCATAGTAACAAGCAGCAATACATGGGAATTATACATTAAAGAATCAATAATAAAAGGGAAAAAAACACATATATAATTTTTTGGGCAAGCGGCGACGGAACACACCATAACCATAGAGACATTATGCAAGGAAAATAAGTCACTTCACCCTATGAGTTGTCCTTTTAATTTACAACTGATTTAATATTCCCCTCAAATATTGTAGCAATTCAAGGCGACATAGTCATATCCGTCTATGTGTATCATGATGATTCTGAGCTAGTTATATACATAATTTACACAAATTTCTTTTCCTTACATATCAAATAATTGGAGCTGAGTAAGGGGACAGATAAAATTTCACAATTAAAAAAAAAAACTTTTGCCCAAAATTTCTGTCCCATCAGATATGTTTGGCTTTAATGGACATACTAATACACATTGGATGAGTGAAGTATATGTTTTAAAATTTGACAATGATTATCTCAACCTTAACTTTTTCATCTGGAGCTGAATGTTTCTCAAATTTGGCTTAGCTATCGAAATAACCTGTGTTTTCAAATGTCATGCTTTAGGTGTATGAGCAAGAATCACTTTAAATGCCATCACTGCAGATGTTAAGATGGTCGTATGTACAGCAAGGGATAGAAACTATTTTTTAAAGCATGTCAAACACTGTGGGGACGTCTCACAGATTTCTCTTATTGAAGATACTCTTATTTTCTTTCTCTTATTCATAGAGGCCTTGTTGCTCCATATTTGGCGTTATTTAATTTACAACATACCTCAATACATTAAGGGCACAAAGGGCTCAATCCTGGAATTGTTGTGGTCCCGATTCACACCTATTCCAGACGAGCACTAAAGCACAACCATAGCCTTATCTGAAGCCAATGGGACGTAAGTACATGCTTAAAGTTACGCACATGCTTAATGTGCTGAATAGATATGGATTTATGCATATGCTTAAGTGTTTTCCTGAACTAGGCCTGTGTAAGGAATTCATGATTGGAGCCACAGTAGAAAGGGATTTCTTAGGGAGGATACCAACCTCTATACAGGGAGTGCATGACTAAGAGCTAGGGGAAAGTGCCTACTACTGTCTACTAAACCTTTGTAGATTCCAATAAAATCTGATTCTACAGTTGCTGAACCTGCATTTGTTCCACTTGTGTAATTCCCCTTGATGTCATGGAAGGCTGAGTACTTAGATGGGCAGGAAATGATGATGGCATAACAGACTGTGTACATTTGCACGGGCAGAGAGCTGGATTTTCTTCAGTCACTACAGTGTGTAGCCTTAAGGGTGACAGGGTTTGTTCTTGGAAAGGAACGCTGGCCATGTGGTTTAGGGCATTGGATGGGGAAACTGATCTGGTCTGAGGGTGGGTCATCACTGCAAAGTGAAGGTGTGATTGTAGCATGGGCAGGCATATCCATGCTAGCTTCAATCTAGCTAACATGAGTAACAACAGTAGTGCAGATGTGGCAGCACCGGCTAACCACGAGTTCAAGCCCTCAGGGGACTCTAGGTATGTACTCAGGGTGCTATCCGTACTGTAGCCCATGCAGCCACATCTACACTGCTATTATCCGTGCTAGCTAGAATTAAAGCTAGCATGGGCGTGCTTACCTGTGCTACAAAGACACTGTCACTTGCAGTGATGACACACCCTGAGGTTGTGCCATAAACTTGCTGGGTGACTTTGCACAGGTGCTTCTCTGTGCCTCAGTCTCCCCTAAAATAGGATAATAAAAGTTCGTGATCTCACTGGGGTGTTCCAAGAGGAAATCCATGAACAGGTGTGAGGCACTCAGACACCATAGTGAGTAGCCTAGAAAAGCCCTTGAATAAATAATACATTCTTGCTACAAACGTGTGGACAGAACAGCTACCAGTTAAAAAAGATAATAGAGCATAGGGAGAGATGAATTATTGGGCCTCTTTCCCTCCCTCCCCCAATTCCTTCAATTGAATCTTTGCTGAGAACTGAAAAAATTGCTTCCTTCCCCCCACCCTCTAATTTTTCATTTCTATATGACTGTGGTGCTTCTGGGATCAACTAGGACCAGGAGCAGAAATGTCAAAAAAAATGGTTTGCCTTGACTGGAAATATGAAACCCAACATACTTTTTTTAAAGCAAGACTTTTAGCCTAAGAGGTGGTCAGATAAACATCCAGGATGGGATTTTCAAAGCCAGGTAGCTGACTGGAGCCCTAACTGCTGTTAATTACCAGGAGGAATTGAGCATCCAAATCTCTGAAAAAAGAAGAACGGGAGTACTTGTGGCACCTTAGAGACTAACAAATTTATTAGAGCATAAGCTTTCGTGGACATATGACATATGTTCCATTCTATATGCATCCGAAGAAGTGGGCTGTAGTCCACGAAAGCTTATGCTCTAATAAATGTGTTAGTTTCTAAGGTGCCACAAGTACTCCGGTTCTTCTTTTTGCGGATACAGACTAACACGGCTGCTACTCTGAAACAAATCTCTGAGGCAGTTTTGAAAATCCCACCCTCATGCCTTTGGTTCCTTATCCAAATTGAACTACAGGATGGGGCCATCTAGTCTCAGTTACAGCAAAGTAAATGTGGCATCTCTTCAATGGCGCTATTCCCGTTTTACACCGGTGTAACTGGAATCAGAATTTGGCTGCAACAGGGAACTCTTTGTTGAGACCGTTTTTCCTAATGCTAAGCAGGTGAAAACATGCCTCTTTTTCTCCCATACGTGTGTAACTATGTAACAGAGCACTGGTTTAAAGGCATGTGCAGTGAGGTGTCTGTTACGAGGCCTGGCTCTTTAAAGCTCAAAGCTATAGTCTGAGGGCACATGAGTAGCACCAATCATGTGAACTACAGGAAACCAGGTATAAGGCTATTCTCCTAGGTAGGAATAACAGACAGGAGAGATCCAGGGTTTGGGGAAGAATCTGAAAGGGATGCTTTACTTGGATCAGATGCATGGCCTGACAGAGTCCCAGGGAATTGGGATTCCCTAGGGTAGTCAGGAAGAGGGCTAATGGATATAGAGTGCAGTAGGGATTGTACTGCAGAGCCTAGAAGGAAAGCGCAGAGTTTCATGTAGCAGAGAGACTACTGAAGCCAAACCGAGGAACGACGGATTATCAAGCCCCGTGAAACCGTGTTCCAAGAGGGGAGAGAGGACTACACTCAAAGGGACAGAAGGAATGGACTTATTTGTGAACCAACTGCTTCCCCAAAGAAGCAACTGCTCATATTTATTGTGCAAATCTTATAAACCAGACCCCAGGTGGGGATGTTACTTGAACCAAATGGGGTGGAGTGGGGTTGGCTGCATTCAGCAGGTAGCAAAGAAGGGGGAAACTGAGATCGCAAGCAGGGGACCCAGGGGTTAAGATAACCCTGTTACAATTGATTTCATTCACAAAAGCAGGTGAAGGACAACTGAGGAAAGAGGAAGCACAGCAGCAGAAAACTGTATTAAAACACAGAATCGGTGACTGTAGCCAAAGTTATGCTGGAATTACATTTTCTGGCCAATGCCTTCCTATCACTATCATGTGCTTTAACCAGAAAAGACTGCAAACAGGATGACTATCAGAGCAGTTTCCTACAGCCGGTGATGACTGGGGGTATTAGCGGTGTCAACTAAGAACATCTGATCCTGAAATCACTGAAGAACTCAAGCACTAGAGCTATGACATTTCAGACTGAGAATTACAAAAAATAAAGACATGATTTCCAGATAACAATGATTTTTCCTACTGCTTCATTACACCCTCTGTAATCCCCCACCTCCCAGGAAAGCAAAAATACAGGCCATCAATCAGATACCTCCTGGTTCCCGGGTGCCTGAACCTGTTTCTGTGACATTCCGAATGTTACAATTTAAACATAAGCAAAACATGGCTTCCTCTTTCCCTGACAATATCATAAACAATTCCCTCCTGGATTGATACAGGAAGCAGAGATAAGACACCACTGCACAATGTTTGTGAATGCACAGAAAACTGTTTAATTTACAGCACAATGGTGAAACAAACCATTGCAAAGCATGGAAATTCAAAGTTAAGTCTGACACTCTTTCTCAAACTCACCTATGGTGCTTAAGTGTTGGAACATGATGTTACATTAACCATACGCAATGATCTGAGATCCTTGCAAGACCTGAGACCAAAGGGGATGAGTAAAGGGTAGAGGACCAGATCTTCAAGTGGTGTAAATTGGCATAACTCCATTGAAGTCACTGGAGCTGTTGATTTACGTGAACTGAGGATCTGGCCCTCAAAATGCCCAACTTAACTTTGAATTACTGTCCCTTGCTTATGCTATTTTGAGTCACAAGCCTTAATGTTACTGTTCCTCCTGGTTATATTTGTTATATCACAGAAATAGATGAGGACTGATTCAACAGACAGTAATGCTGGAAATGCTTGCAGATAACATTTCAACTGGAATAGAATCAATGGCACAAATTATAACATTCAGCAATAGTTTAAAGACTGATCCAGATCTTCAGCTGATGTAAACTGAAGTCAATAGAGCTCGCCAATTTACACTAGCTGAGAATCTGGCCCTAAGACTTTGATGATTGCTACTGTGAACCATGTAAACACTGGGTTTGAAAATAAAGACTTTGGATGCTCCTAATTCCTGGTAACAAAATGAATTACAGATTTCAAATCTCAGACAAATAATTACCAGAAAGTTCTTCATTCAGTCTTCATTCTCTCCTCCTTTCAAACTTGGCATAATAGATTTCTATGCTGGTACCAGGAAAATGCATGCCTGTACTTGCATTTTCATCAGGGATTAAATATACTCAGGTGGTGTACACACACAGCACCATTACAATCGATGGGGCTACACCAAATTAAACTGTCTGAAGATCTGGCCCAGGTGAGTGATTTAAATTAATCCCTATTGTACCAGTGCAACCTTAGTTGAAAAATTCGCTCATGCAATATTCCACTTAAGTGACTTTGGCATCCTTTCAAACTTGCACAATGTCTGAGCGGGTCACATAATATTTTTCATCTACATGATTTTAATAGAGATATATGAATTCTTTTTTCATTAGCTATTTTAGACAACCACCCCCAAAAGAAAAAAAAAACCAAATTGAGCAACACTATTGACATCCCACCGAAACATAAATATATAAATTACAATTTATACACGTTTCTTTTAAACGCAGACACATACATTCATGGGCATAACATTGTGAACAGTACACTTAGTGAAGAACAAGCACAGATAGTTTTAGTAAATGTGTTTCCAGTTTTGGTGCTTAATGTAATACACTGGGAAGATGATCGCAAACAGGATAGTGACTAATGCTATCCCTGCATTAGCAATTGAAGCCAATGCCTGTTCATTAAAATTGCTTTGTTTGGTTGAAATTGGACATAGCTATAGTGGGTGGGGTGATGTGTTAACAAAATCTCTCTTTTTTTGTTACATCGTAAAGCTCTGGAGTTCATTCACATTTGAGACTTTTAATTCAGGGTGGACACATTATCCTCAAGACTTGTCTTTTGTCATTATGTACAAAGGAGAGCGAAATCTTTCATCTTATTGGAGATGTTTCATAAAGAATAGAACCCAGTAGTTTATTTTACATGTCCAATGTGATAATCCAAATACTGTAACACAAAGGGCATATCATCTAAACCACCAGGCTGGGGCAGTGATTTTGGCTAACAGGGTAGGCATGATATATATGGCCCAGGCCTACATTTCCAAAGCAGCAGACAAGAATTAGCCATGTGGCTCCCATTACAGTCCCTGGAGGAGTTGAACAATTAAATTCCTCTGCACTTTGAAAATGTAGGAGTTGGTGCCTGAGTATTTTATCTGCCCTGCTATACTTAAAATATATTTTGAAGTTATTTGGGCTATTCAACTACAAAAATATGACCACAAAATGCTTTTTTTTTTTCTTTTCTTTTCTTTTCTTTTTTTTTTCTTCAAGAAAACATAGCAGGCTTTCTTAGGTATATAAAACTGTTAATTTTAGATAAAAATACAAACTTCACCTTTACAAAACACATATTTCTGTTGAATACACATAAAGCATAACATTTTACCAAAAATAAAGAATTTTAGGTTTTGTTCAACTATTTGCAGCAAGGGTTTTCCCATGCCACAATGACATTGTACAATGCGGATACAAGAATTTGTACATTTCACATAGCGCCAACATGTGAAATAAAAGTATTTGTATACTGATAAGAATGGCAATTGCTAACACAATATCACTATTAGGCAACTGGCATACGTTTCAAAGAAAAAAAGGATATTTGCATGGATATCCTATGATTTGTTTACACACATCAGGTTTTTTTAAATGCTTTAAATTACGGGGGAGGTTGGGAGACATAAACCAAGAAACGTCTAGAAAATTATGCATAGGTATACCATTTTTATTTTAATATATCTCATTAGTTTGCATCCCACTAGGAGAAATACCATAATGTTTGTGTTCTGCTTACTGTTACACCAGTCTTCTATATGTGTTATTGATAAATGTAGTCCAAGAGATAATAAAAAGCTAGGCAAAGAGTAAAAAGAAAGCTTAATAATCACTTTATGGTGTAAAAAAAATCCATTTAAGGCTCCCCAGAAGGTATTCTTTTTTGTATAGACTTTAAAACACCACCAAGCAAGGATGTACTGTTTCTATAGTGTTTGCGTGGCATTTGATCATTTGATACATTCCTGCTTTTTTGTGCCTGGAGTCCATTTGTGTCCATCCATCTTCATCAAGAAAGCAGGCACATTTCTTGACATAAAGCACCGTTGACTGCTCTGACAGAAATCCACTATTCACTTAAGATTTTTGTTCTTTTTTTTTTCTTCTTCTTCTTCCTCTTTTATTTTTGTTTTTTGTTTTGTACTTTTGGTATCCTCCATTCATTCAACTGTCTTTTTATTTTCTTTGTTTGTTTCGTTGTTTTGTGTTTTTTTGGACAGGGAAGCTTCCTATTGTTTCACAGAGTGCTACAATACTTGCTTTGATGTCACATTAAACAAATGTACATTGTCTCTTTGTTCTCATTAAGTGTTCTTTTCAGCCAGTTTTTTTCACATAGGAGAACAAATAAAGTATACAGTCAATAAAGCACCATACATAGTAGGTTCAGGAATGTAACAAACCATGTACATCCATGTCCCAGAGAGAAGTTCTTTTTTTTTTTCTAGCTTATTTCACCTTACATCTGCAGGAGAGAAAAAAGATATAATAACTCCATGATTAGAATCACAGGACCTTTCCTCTTAGATGTCTTTAAAAAAAAACTATTCTGCATGAAATTCACTAACCTGGGACAAGAAGTTCTAAATGCTGTTTTGATTGAGTTTACATGCTGACTTTTAAAGTTGAATTTTACAAAATCTTTGCTTCTATCATACTACTCCCAATAAATACCTGTTAATCTGAAACAGGATATCAAGTTTAGCATTCTTTCAAAAAGATACATCCATATAAATGAAATCTGACATTGGGAGTTCAGGTGCAAAAAAAATAAAATAAAAAAAAGGGCTTGAATTATTAAATTCCCCATCATCCAGCAGTTAGATACATTTACTGCAAATTCAAATTAAACCCCACTCACAACACTAGAATCATCTGCAACTGTTGCAGCTCATATGACTTCAGATATTTTAGAAATATAAAATCCATATTTAATTTGGAAACTGTACAGCTGTCACATCAAACTTCGCTAATATGCTGATCAAGCCACTCTTTTGTATTGAGGGGTTTCTTGTTTTTTTTTTTTCCTGCATTGTAAACCTTATAAATTTTGATGGCATCCTATTTTTGCATCCTAGTCTTCCTCTGAAAGCCCCCAGACCAATGAAGGTCTTAGCTCTCTGATACAGGGCCTTGTTACAGAAGAACAGGTGTCCTCTTGTTTTGTAAATTATGCAGTGATTCCGATAATTTCAGATGCATATTTAATCAGTCCCCAGTTCGGGCCAAAAAATGTTTGATGGTCATGCATGTAATAAGAGTTGCCATACATACTCTATGCTTTCACAGCCGACTGCTTGGAACATAAACCATTTGTCACCTGGCAATTCAATCATGCATTATAATGGGATGCTTAGACTTCAGAAATCAATAATGAAACAAAAAGCAGAGGAAATGGAACTTGAGATTTCCAAGAAGCTTAAATATTAGCTCCCTCAATAAATAAATAAATAAAATGCAAGAGGAGGAAATAGCTGAAGAATGTAAGATGCTTATGGTGATGTGTAGCTTAAAGGGAAAATACCAAGCAGGTAGAATTATCAAAGCCAATCACATCTAATCTCTTTGCAGCCTTGAAGTAGCAAGTGTCAAGATTTTGAACAGTGATTAAGCTGGAGTGATGATATTTGATTACATTTTCCATTACTTGTGCCATTAGGGTGTTCAGCATATAGGTCCTACCTGATTAGCAAATAGTTCCAGTAGTTTTTATGTTGGTTTTAACCTTTTTCGTTTCCGTTTTTTACCTGTTTGCCTAGGCCTTCCTGTTAACATAAGGGCAGGCTGGTAAAAAGCCCTAAGATAATGCATTTTGTTGAAAACTGACGTAATAAACACTCAGGTTGTTATCTCTCACAGAATACTCACAATCTTTTGCATTACAGGTATTTCTTTATAACTTCTGATTTTGAAATAATGTTTGCATAAGTAGAGTAATTATATAAAACCAAAGCTCCAGTAACCCAAGATGGTGCTGGTGGTGAGAGATCTGCCTTGTAACTACTGTTAGCATATTGTATTCAATATTTGCCTTCAGTCCCTGTAGTTTAGTTAAACTTGCCCTCCATAACATGTTCTCACCTATAACTATGGATATGAATCATTGTCTTCTGCCATTCTGATCATTTCCTTCACACGCCTGATTCTGAACTGACATTCCATTTTTCTCACATACACACAAGCTTTTCACCTTGAAAATTCAACTGCTTAGTCGTTGTCCACAATAAACATTTTGGAAAGTTGAGGCTGATTAGATAAGATTTTTCATGTATGGAACATAGAACAATTTACAAAAATATGAGAAGCCCCCAATTTTTCCCTAAATGTTTTGGTCCATTCATAACTCAAACTAGCTTGGACTAAAATCATCCAGCTTAAGTTACCTGTTGATGGTCAATGAGAGCGAGTGCACAGGCCTAATTTTTCAGCTCTCCATGTATATTATAACTTCCCGGAGAGGCCTATAGGAGGTTATATGTAAAGCAAAGCATGTCAAGAGAACTTGAAAGCTCTTGTAAGACAAACAGCTAGGTAAATTCTGCTGACATGAGCTTCTGAGTCCAATAAATATAAAACTGCAGTTCATGAGCCTTGCATTTGCTAAGTACCTGCGCTAGTGAGATGTCCTCTGAAGAGATTAGAATTTTCCCCAGGGGTCTGCAGGACATGGTAACCTCCACCAGGTGCTCTCACCCAAGTTACAGTCTCAGCCAGGCATCTGACAGAAATTGTAACCTCTGCTGGGAAACTGAGGCAAATTAAAGCCAGCACCAAAAATAGCCAGCCAGTTGCTGTCCCACCTCAGTGACATCAGGCCAATGGGCTGCCCACTTCTACACTGCAGAATAAAAATATAAAGGATAAATGGGAAGCCTGGACCTCCTGGGCAAAGGTGTGTCATGGCGGGGAGGAGATAGCAGCAAGAAACTTGCCTAAAACTCAGGCCTGGGGAACCCTTAGCACGTTTCCTATTTGTCAGAAATCCCAAAGCAGGGAAGTTTCACCTATTTACTTTCCTTATAAAAGTTTCCGACACTTTGGGCCTGATTCTCCTGTTCCTAACACCAGTGTGAATCAGCAGTAACTCTACTGAAGTCAGTGGGCCACATCCTCAGCTGGTATAAACTGCCACAGTTCCATTGATATCAATGGAGTTGATCTGCACTAGCTGAGGCTCCGGCACAATGGAGTTATACGGTGCAAGCGAGAGGAGAATCAGGCCTTTTGTAATCAATAGGAGTACAACCTCTGAAAAATCCCTCCTGGCAGAGAGACTCCCCCAGCCCGGTCAGAGTCCCTGTGGCAGTGATAGTATCCATGGGCACACACAGAGCTTATTGACCAAAATGTTCCACAGCAAGAGGCCACCCCAAACCCACACCAAGGAAACTGTCAGACAAAAGACTTTCAGATAGAGAATTGTGCCTGCAAATTTTTTTCATGGGAAGTGGGGGGGCGGGAGGGGGGGAAGAGAAATGGATGAATGTTACAGTTAAATAATAACAATAAAATGCTCAAAAGTAAGGAAATCAGAAATTAAGGTTCCTGAACCAACCTTAGCTTTCACCCGTAACCCTGCCCATCTGCTAGCTACTACCTAGAGACACCCCGTCCCTCCGTTTATCATTGTCCAACTCCTTCCTAACATAGAGTACAGAAATCCACTCTCCCTGCCGAAACTCTACAGACAAATTTATAAACTAGCTAACCAGCTAGGGCCTGATCCCAAACCCACTGAAGTCAATGGGAATCTTTCCAGTGATTTCAGTAGGCTTTGGATCAGGTCCCCTAATCCATATGGAATTGATCCTTCACCAGATCATCCTTCCACTTACATCTAGAAATTATAACATCTTGTGTTTTGGTTGACTGCAATGGAGTTACACAGGCATCAAATTGGAATAACCTAATGGTTTATCAGGCCAACTATTTTCTCAGCAACAGAAAACGCTACTTTATCTCCTGATATAGGCAAGACATCATACAATAACCCCATGTATGTTCTTACTACAGACTGCAGAAAAAAACCCTGCCACAGATAGGCCAAAGATCTACCTGTACCTGTCCTCCCTCTACATTATCCACCATCACCAGCTGCTACACTGACTGCCTCACCCCCGGGGGCACCTGCACTCCACCAAGTCTAAAACTGGTGTATGACCCTTTAGGGTGCCCAGAAACTTAAAGTAAACTGCTAGGCTGTTCTAATTTACACCAGGGCTGGGCCAAGGTCTGGGCAGCTGGCTACGTACCCAGCTTCCTGAATGCCTCCTAGCCCCTGAGACCAGTGGATCTGGGTACAGGAGAGAACCTGGGCCATAGTTTTTATGAAAGCCACTTTGAAAGTAAGCATTTCTTCCCCCACACAGTCATAAAGCCCCTTTTCTGTCATTCATATTCTCAACAAGCCAGGCATATGTTTAACGTGACAACTGGCAACAATCTCTGTAAAGATGGGTAGAGAAATGGAAACCGAATAAAGGCTGCAGTACGCAACTTAATTTCAAAATTCCTTACTTTTGAACAATTACATTCTTTCTAAATAAAATGTTCTATTCATTTCAAACTTAGTTTTCCCTTTAGTAAAGTAAATTGTCAGCCTTAACTCTTATCTCAAAAGAGTCATTACTTGATAGAATTTACCAGCAAGACACAAATACACCGCTACCCCGATATAACGCGACCCGATATAACACGAATTCGGATATAACGCGGTAAAGCAGTGCTCGGAGGGGGGGGGGGGGCTGCACACTGGTGGATCAAAGCAAGTTCAATAGAACGCGGTTTCACCTATAACGCGGTAAGATTTTTTGGCTCCCGAGGACAGCGTTATATCGAGGTAGAGGTGTAGTATAACCTTCAAATTAGTTAGGCAAGATTTTTATGTTATGCATTTAACGTTTAATTTAAAGGCTGCACTAAATAAAACTGCTGCAATTTCAACTTTGAACCCAAATTCTTGTATACAACCCAAATCCTGTTTTAATTCCACACCTTTGAAACGGGGGGGGTTCTCAGTGGGGTCAATGGGTGCTTTCCCATTTAGTTCAATGGGAACAGGGTTGGGTCCATATTCTTTACTATAAATATAAGTTCCCATCTGATAAAAGTATGTGTACAAAAATAAAAGGATGACGTACCAGTTTCTTCTTCTCGATAATCTGAATTAGAATTTGATGATGTACAGGTGCATTCCATATGCTCTTCTAACCTCACCAGAACTTCTTTTAATTTTGGCTTTTTTCTAACATATTCCACTTTTGCCACCTAAAAAAAAAGAATGGTGTTTGTACTTAGACACATTAATACCTAACAGGACTTAAGACAGGTGGTACATATCTATATAAACCACCTCTACCTAGTAGAGCATCAGCTACTTATTTCATGACACATCCTTTATACAAGTTCAGCAGTTCCAAACGGACCAGGTTTTCCCCCCCAAGAGCTTGATTTCCCATTCATGGGGTTTGAGCAATTCTATATTTCAGGATTTTTTCTAAGTCAAGGTAAAGTTTCATATTCAGTCTCAAATCTGCATTTGTCACTGAATTTACAGATTCTAATATATTTTTCTCTCTACAACATTTCACCAGGGTTATGTTGAACTACCCATTGTTTTTAAGACTAAGGCAAACAGCAAAGACATGGAAAAGCACCAGTGCTGTTTGAGAACCTAGATCTCAATGATATCTCATAAGGGATGCCCTCTCTCTGTCCTATAAGCTTCTTGCAGGAACTCTGGTGAATGAGAGCTCACTTACTTTTAAAAGAGAACTAGGAGGAAAATGAAAAGGAGATTAAAAGCTTTTTTAAAAGTCTTTGCTGAGACACATCCATCTTGCTTGATGTTCTCTCTCTACTGTATGGAAATGTTACCTCTTCAGATACACTGAGTACATATTTCACTAGCATTTAGGTTCCAGGCACATTTCAGGTTCAAGTACAAGTACAGTACAAACAGGTTCTAACACAGTTTGGTGGGCTAGCATGGACCGTATTCTAGCTCAGGAAGAGAGCTAAGATAGAACACAGATTTTAAATCTTCTTCTAACATGCACTGGCCCCATCCATACTGGCCAGCCTAACCTTCTTAGAGCCCTGTGCAACCACCACTGAGATTAAACCTGAGTGAAACCAATATAGATAGGGCCTTGTGCTGAGGGAAGAACCACACCCAAAGGGGAATCTTCTAGCTGCTTTGCTTTTCAACACTGCTCGGCATTAGGGAGACATCCAAAATATGCCTCCCATTTGACTGTAGGGGGCTGTAAACATGGGCTGTCATGGAGAGCAATGAAACCAAATAGTGCGGATACTGTATTATTTTATATAAATTAGAGACAGAGAGAAATCGAGAGACTGGGTCTCTGATCCCATGCACAGCTCAGATGATTGACACACATGTGGTGCTTTGAGGACATAGCACCAGTCAATCTATATATCAATGAAATAGGCAGGGTTGTTAAAAATTATCAGTGTCCAAAATTTTTAATAGACCCTTTTGCTAATGGTGTATGGATTTGTTTGTTGGGAGTTTTAATGCTCCTTGATCTTAGCATTGAGAAAACATTGACCTTCTGTCTTTCCAAATGCGGCAAGTCGTTCTCATAACATGGCGGGGGGGATTATACTTCGCAGCTGTCAGAAACCATCCTTTGACTTTCTGGACACACCTGACCAATGGACATCTGAATGAGAGCAGCAGAAGCCTAGAGTGAAATACTGGGCCCCGTTAAAATCAGTGGGAGTTTTGCCACTGACTTCAACAGAGCCAAGATTTCAAACCTACATTTCAGCCCCCTTTGTCAACAAGATCTGGAGCCTGTTTGCATTTACCCAGCAAACAATAGTTCTGCACGGACAGATGCAGTAGTTAAAATGTCCACATTAAAGACATTTTCTGAGGCTGTCAGATTTCCATACAAAAAGATTTAGAGCTGGCTCTAACATGTCAGAATGCCCTGCTGAAGGGTTAACTATGGGTCACAGCAATATGTTTCCGGCTCTTCTATCAGAGTATAACTCTAGCAAGGCTTAGAATGCAAAGATTTGAAAATATATGGTACATCTGAGTCACCCAGCATCAAAGGATGACTAATCCTTAAAATTCACAATAACAAACAGCGATTAAGACCTCTATAACCAGAGACATAGAAAGAGACACAGCAATTATGAAATGGCTTTGATATCTGTCATGCTTATTCCAATTGTTGGAATTAACCAGCGTCATCAAAAATTACTTGCCACTAAAACTGTAATCTAACTTTATTTTAGGCCATCTCTATTTTTTTTCCAAATTCAGACAACTATATAGACATGCCTTCCACTCCTTACTTTGTACAACACACACTGGAAGATGTAGGAGGAGATACTTAGAGACTCTATGATGATAACCTACTTCACATTGACCAATTAAAAGCTACAGTTTTTAGTGAAGTGCATTGTAAATTAAAACAAACAAAAAAGCAGCCCCCGGACTCCTCTTCCTCCTTCAGGCAACATAAGTGAAGGTTGAAGATTTATAAAGTGCTGTAAACATTCAATTTCTCAAGTTAAAACAACATCAAATACAATTAAATTCTTAAATTTGTGTTGTCTCATAACACCTGCTGCCACCATGGGATCTATAATTAATGCTAAGCTAAAACATTAGGCTCTGAGCCAGATTCTCAGCTGATGTAAAATGCCATAGCTATTTTGACATCACAGGATCCAACTCTAGGTTAGCATTCTTTCCCCCCCCTATCCTGTTGCGCGGAAGAGAAGGATAACCACACACTATTGTGTACTCTCCATTGCTTTGACATGGTTAGTCCTCAGCAAGCCACTCATTTCAACATGGGCGTCTTTCATCTTTCTCTAATGCCACAAAACCAAGAACCTTCAACAACAACAACAAATATTACTTATAAAAACAATGGGGGAGATAAGTTCCATTTGTGGGGGGTTTTAATCTCCCCCTAATATTACATTTAAATAATTGTACCATAATAGGTAGGTTAGGGTCTATGTTTGGTACCTCTATGGTCTCTATTCCACATTCCTATTGTGTGTGAGGAGGGAGAGGGGAGGGAGTTTGGAGAAGAGGGGAAGGCGTGTAAGGGAAAGTTATGTTGCTCAGATAAAAATATCTGGTCTGGTGGGAACACTTGATGGTATCCTCAGCTCCAAGGGGAAGGCAATGTTTCAAATTGTTCAACAGTGATACATAAAGAACGGCAATCAGTTTTCCCAGGCCGGCTGCAATGCAGAATCTCATGGAAATCAGGGACTTGAGCATAGGAAAAAGGCAGGACTCTGGGCATGAAAACCCTGAGAACCCCACCAGCATAATAACAAAATTAATTCTGTACAAGAACTTACAAGAAACCTCTCAGCATGGGAGATGACTTTTATTATAACACTCAACAACAACAAAGCCCACTTGGATGGTCCCTGTTTAACATACCAGGCATGAAATAAAATCCTGAATTAGGACACTTTTCAGAAATGAAATGACTAGCAAAGGCATCCGTTTGCTCTAGCTCAGAAGTGGATTAGCAACAGTATGATGGAATGAAGCTCTATGGACCTGGGCAATTCTAAAAATTGCAACTGAGGGGTCAAGTTAAAGAACGAAGACAGAGGTCTGCTGGGTTTTAACTAGACACAAAGAAGTCAGCTGGAGTCAAACCACAGCTGAGGCAAGGTGCATTTGCCTATAGTAGGTCAAAAAGTCATCGTACAATTGTGTTTTATAAAACAAGAACGATTATAACACTACCTGTTATGGGGTTTGTAATTGCTCTTAAAGGGAAGTTAAAGATCAAGTTATTGCCTGGTCCCATTTCAGAACAAAACAAGAGAATCCTGAAAGATGTAGTCCCCAGAGGGACACTGGGAATTGTATGATGCTGCAAGGCATGATGGGAAGAAGCATCAGGGAATATAAGAAGCAGCCTTTCCTCAGAAGAGGAGAAACCGGGGAGAGATCAGACCTGATGTGTGGCTCTTCACCAAGAGAGCAGAAGAAACAGCCTGGAAGAGGCTGTGGCAAGGACCTAGGAGGAGGCCTAGTGAAAGAAACCCAGGGTAGTGACAAAGCACATGAAGGAAAAAGTATAGGGTAAAACAGTATTGGTGAGGGCTTGAGGCCTGATTTTGGCTACACAATTAGGGACTCAGACTGGTGCTTCCAGAAAGAGTAGGAGGAAGTCCCCTTTTCACACCCCTACATGAATGGGGAGAGAGCTGTGGCCCATGGTGGACCAAGGAAGGAGCCATTTAGCCCTGAATCACAGGAAAAGAGAATACTTAGTCCAGTGAGGACAGAGGATCTGATTAGCTTTGCCTCAGGATGGAGGATTGTTCAGAGGACCAGAGGACCATTTTGCTTTGGATTCGTGTGGTTGCCCTGGAAGGGGAGGACTTTTGTTTTGGCTGGAAGCACTAAACCTACCTCAGAGGGAAACTATGGCCTGGCCCTGGACACTGGCAGGGACACTGAAGAGATAAGAACCCACCACACTCCTCAAGAAATGCTTTGTTATAGATGGATTCTTGCTACCTAGACATCCCCAGCCCTAAACCATACATGTGTGACCCCATGGACAGCCTACCAGGATACGCATAATTAGTCCAGAAGGCCTTGCTGGCAGAGGAACTACTACAGTTCCATTGCACAGTGTAGAGGAGGCCAGACAGGGGAGCCATGCAGGCTATTCGGGTGTAGGCTTGCTGGATTTACTGCTGTAGGGACTCAACAGCCACTGACCCCTGCATGTGATGGGGGATACAAAGACTGTGGAGGCTATTGTCACAGTTACCGGGCTAGCTGCACCTCTGTTTCCTTTCTGGTCTCACTGAGTGCATCTGCTCTCTACTATACTATACTAGTTCTTATACTGTACTCATCACCATAGTATCTGAACACCTTCCAGTAGTGCACCTAGCAACACATATCTGTCATGTATCCCAGTCTTCATACCTTAACCCATGGCGGAGTGGAATTCTGCATTTCTCCATCTCTTACACCAGGCCCTGGGCTACAACACTCTGTGGATCAACCATTCTTACCCAGCAGGTCTAACTGAACTTGGGTCCCTGCAGTTCTTTCCTTCAGGAGTCTAGTGATATCCAGGGATCAGACAGCCTTCTTAAAACCAAAGCATTGTTTCTTCTAACAGAAGGAACAAGACATTTCAAGAAAAAGAATTTTAAAACAAGAAACACTCTATCTGCTTCAGAGTAGCAGCCGTGTTAGTCTGCTTGCTTGTCTTACCTAAAGG